ATTCCTCTTACTGTAGTTACACTCACCTTATCCTGTGCTGTAGTGTTGTACAGTAGGCTATTTCTCTCCTGATTCCTACATTCAGCTCTCAACTTCCTCAGAATTTGGTTGAAAGTGAATCCCTCTTTGAGCATGCTGAGGATATAGCTCTCCGAGTCCTTGTCAAGTCTCAAAAAAGCAGGCTCTTCCGTGTGACCACCGTATGTTTACGCAGAACGTCACAGTGATAGTACGCTCTTCTTCATACGCCTGAATCGCAGAGTTTTAATTGTTTAATGAAGTAGAATCGTAAATCGCTTCGCTCTTCGCCTTTCTTCGACTTCCTTCCCTTGTGAGTGCGTACCTAGGAAAAGGGACTGACAACTACATCGGAAATAGGAAAGTTTCCGTCTCCCAGATCTCTGGACAGATGTTCACATAATGGACACTGAATACGATTCATACCAGGATGATAGCTATGCTTCCGTGACTTGTGAATTCCCAACGAATCTTTACATTTGTACGACAAATCGCATTCATCACATTTGAAAATGTTCTCAGTCGTCGACGACGATCTTTCATCCTTTTTTTCTTTTTTGATCTTCTCAATTGCCTCTTTCGAATACCCATGAGTAGCGAAAGTGCCTAAATAGCAAAGCGCCAGTGATAAATTCTCGGCTGCAGTCGGGGCAGCGGACGCCCATATTGCTGAAGCTCCAGCCTGAAAATGTTCAACAGCTTTGTTTTAATATGTGTATCAACTTTTAAAGTATCACACGAAAACGGCAGCCGGCAGAAGGGGACAAGAAGAGTTCATCGAAAGGCTAAGGAATGAAGATGTCAGTGTCATCAAATCCACATACACGAATGGGTGATAGAAGGCACTAGTCGAACATGGAAAGTAGTTGGGCCATTAACGCTGTCATTACTGCAAAGATTAGGAGTCACTCAAATGAGAAAACATGCGAAACTACTCATAGTTCTTCTAACTTGCTCATTTTCAAAGAAAATTCGCGCCATGTTCTTTTAAAAATTGCTTCAAGAGGAAGCCTCACGTATATCAAGTGGCTTCACTGCACTGTAGAAGGAGTCGTGCGAGTCTCCCGACCGGGTCTAAGCATATAAGTCACCTCCGTCGCGGAATCCGTGACGGAGGTGTCTTATACGGCCTCCATGAGAAGAAAGGGGGCGTATTGCACAGATCAGAACCTATACAGCACATAGATAGCGTGCGCAATGAGTGATGCATCGAGAAGGGAATCCGCATTTGTATCCTCCTGTAGAAGCGATAAACTTCTTCTTTCCAACGCCGTGCAAATCTCTGTCCCATGTTGTCTTGGCGAAGCTGGCCTTTGAAGTTATAAAGAAATCTGCAAAAAAATCCCCACGTCATTTTTCCTGATTTTTGATCTGTGGGGATTTTTTCGCAGATTTCTTTATAACCTTCAAAGGCCAGCTTCGCCAAGACAACATGGGACAGAGATTTGCACGGCGTTGGAAAGAAGAAGTTCATCGCTTCTACAGGAGGATACAAATGCGGATTCCCTTCTCGATGCATCACTCATTGCGCACGCTATCTATGTGCTGTATAGGTTCTGATCTGTGCAATACGCCCCCTTTCTTCTCATGGAGGCCGTATAAGACACCTCCGTCACGGATTCCGCGACGGAGGTGACTTATATGCTTAGACCCGGTCGGGAGACTCGCACGACTCCTTCTACAGTGCAGTGAAGCCACTTGATATACGTGAGGCTTCCTCTTGAAGCAATTTTTAAAAGAACATGGCGCGAATTTTCTTTGAAAATGAGCAAGTTAGAAGAACTATGAGTAGTTTCGCATGTTTTCTCATTTGAGCGACTCCTAATCTTTGCAGTAATGACAGCGTTAATGGCCCCACTAGTTTCCATGTTCGACTAGTGCCTTCTATCACCCATTCGTGTATGTGGATTTGATGACACTGACATCTTCATTCCTTAGCCTTTCGATGAACTCTTCTTGTCCCCTTCTGCCGGCTGCCGTTTTCGTGTGATACTTTAAAAATGTTGCCATACAACATATTAAATACAAAGCTTGCTGTTGAACATTTTCAGGCTGGAGCTTCAGCAATATGGGCGTCCGCTGCCCCGACTGCAGCCGAGAATTTATCACTGGCGCTTTGCTATTTAGGCACTTTCGCTACTCATGGGTATTCGAAAGAGGCAATTGAGAAGATCAAAAAAGAAAAAAAGGATGAAAGATCGTCGTCGACGACTGAGAACATTTTCAAATGTGATGAATGCGATTTGTCGTACAAATGTAAAGATTCGTTGGGAATTCACAAGTCACGGAAGCATAGCTATCATCCTGGTATGAATCGTATTCAGTGTCCATTATGTGAACATCTGTCCAGAGATCTGGGAGACGGAAACTTTCCTATTTCCGATGTAGTTGTCAGTCCCTTTTCCTAGGTACGCACTCACAAGGGAAGGAAGTCGAAGAAAGGCGAAGAGCGAAGCGATTTACGATTCTACTTCATTAAACAATTAAAACTCTGCGATTCAGGCGTATGAAGAAGAGCGTACTATCACTGTGACGTTCTGCGTAAACATACGGTGGTCACACGGAACAGCCTGCTTTTTTGAGACTTGACAAGGACTCGGAGAGCTATATCCTCAGCGTGCTCAAAGAGGGATTCACTTTCAACCAAATTCTGAGGAAGTTGAGAGCTGAATGTAGGAATCAGGAGAGAAATAGCCTACTGTACAACACTACAGCACAGGATAAGGTGAGTGTAACTACAGTAAGAGGAATTGTTTTCTGAAAGCTCCTGTTTCAGGAACATAGCCAGACGGCACAACATGGAGCCCGGAAAAAGCATGCCCTCGATCTGGAGTCAGTTGAAATTAGAGTGAACGAGGCTTCCGAAGAAGATGGCATTCGGCCTTATCTTCG